ATTTCACAAGTTTCAAAATCTCCCCTCCCCCTACCGCATCCCAAAACCAGTCCAGCTCGTCCCTGCCTCCCTAACCTGTTCTTCCTCCCACCTATCCCCTCCTCCCACCTCAAGTCGCACCTCCATCTCCTACCGACTAACCTCATCCCACCCCCTTGACCTGTCCATCCTCCCTGGACTGACCAATCCCCTCCCTAACTCCCCACCTACACTGACCTTTACTGGCCCCATCCCCGCCTCTTCGACCTGTTTGTTTCCTCTCCACCTATCCTCTCCTCTATCCATCTTCTATCCGCCTCCCACTCTCTCCCTATTTATTTCAGAACCCCCTTCCCCTCCCCCTTTTCTGATGAAGGGTCTAGGCCCGAAACGTCAGCCTCTCTGCTCCTATGATGCTGCTTGGCCTGCTGTGTTCATCCAGCCCTGCACCTTGTTGTCATTAATCATGTCCTGCCTGTTTGGGCAGCATGGTGGCTCAGTGGTTAACACTGCTACCTCACAGCACCAGGGACCTGGGTTCAATTCCCACTCGGGCAGTTGTCAGTGTGGAGTTTGCACATTCTCCCCATGTCTGCGTGGGTTTCCTCCAGGTGCTCTGGTTTCCTCTCTCAGTCCAAAGATGTGGAGGCTAGGTGGATTGGCCATGCTAAATTGCCCATAGTGTTCAGGGATGAGTGTGTTATGGGGAATGGATCTGGGTGGGATTCTCTGAGGGTTGGTGTGGACTTGTTGGGCTGAAGGGCCTGTTTCCACATTCTATGAATTAAAATAAATTTACCTATTATTCCAACACTCTGTTTCCTGCCACTCAACCAGTTCCTTATCAATGCCAGTAATTTGCCCTGAATTTCACAGGCTTCCACCTTAACTAACAATCTCTCGGGTGGGACTTTATCACAAGCCTTTTGGAAGTCCATATAAACAACATTAATCAACTTACCTCTGTCCACCACCTTTGTCACATTTTTAAAATACTTTATGATATTTTGTCAGGCATGACCTACCCTTCATGAATCCATGCTGACTCTTCCTGATTAACTGAAAATTTTCAAGGCAATCAGTTACCCTATTCTTGATTATACACTCCAACATTTTCCCCACCACAGATGTTAGGTCCCTGGTTTCTCTCTGTAACCCTTTTTAAAGAATGGATGATATAAGAAAATTTTTAATCCAGAGGTACAACTCCTGAATCCAGGAACTCTGAAAGATTATGATTAGGGCATTGGCAATGTGCTATACTATCTGCTTAACACATGTGGATGGAAACTATCAGGGCCCAGGAACTTGTCACGTTTCAGTTCCATTAATTTCCCCATTAGTCATGATTTACTTAAAGCTAATTTGTTCCTTAGATCCCATACATTTGTATAAGGAACTGTAATTTTGGCTGCACACTGTTTCAGCTTTTTGTTATTGGTCCCTCCTCAATATACTTCTTAATAGTCCCACCTTGTTCATTAAACTGGCCCTCCTTGTTCATCCTATTGATACCTTCTCCTCACATGCTGACGTCCTTTTTGACAGGGTCTCACCTACCCTCGAAGAGATTGCAACGATCCAGATATCTGAATCCTCCCTCTGATAACAGCTCTTTAGCCACCTATTCAGCTGTATCTTCCTATTTCTGTCCTCACTGGATCCAAATCTGCAGAGGTATTTTGGAAGTGTTGTAGGCTGAAATGAAAAGCAAACAAGTACACAATAACATAAAGCACACTAACAAAAACAGAAGTTGCTGGAAAAGCTCAGCAGGTCTGGCAGCATCTGTGAAGAGAAATCAGACTTAACATTTTGGATCCGGTGACTCTTCCTCAGAACTATTTATTTTTACGGCGAATGAGCCAGAGGATAAAGTGGAACTGCAGAGTGGTGCAGCCCTGAGCCAGCGTTATGTGACGCTGTTGGAGGAAGAGCTCAAGAGTGTGCATGTGAGGCCACATGGCACGGAGTGCAGATCTCAGAATGCAGTGAGAGCAGCTGTCTGTGGAATGTTGAACATCACAGAGGTACATGTGATCTTGTATAGATTCAAAGCACGAGGGATGAAACTTCAGTTGGAATCCATGTGGGGTGAGTCTGAGCCAGAGGCAGTCACTAAGAATGTGATGTGGCTTTGGCAGATCTGAGGAAGGGTCACTGGGCCCGAAATGTTAACTCTAATTTCTCTTCACCGATGCTGCTGGACTGCTGGCCTTTTCCAGCAACTTCTGTTTCAGTTTCTGATTTACGGCATCCACAGTTCTTTCGGTTTTATAAAGCACACTAAATTTTTTCACCCACGCTCAAGACTCATCACATCACCTTGTTGGAGAACCAACTCTGTAAGCTTCTCCCTGTGCACCTGCAAGTCCTCAGCTTGGCCGTACATGGAAACAGCATCCCTCAAAGTCTTATGTTAGAGATTCAGAGGATCTTGAAGGATGTTTGGCTCCAATATTTGCATTATGACAACACGTCAGCATATTGTGGCATTGGTGAAACAAACTCCCAACCGTTGGCTTAGAGCACCATTGCTCCGTTTGAAGTCTATTAACCCTGACAAAAAAAGACTGAATGGAGTAGTCCAAAGGCAGTCTGATCTCTGAATATGCTATCTTTTTGTAATTTCCTTCAACCAACTGGTGCCAAATGTAGTGCTTTGCGTTCCATTGGACTCATCTACATAAATCAAGAGTGAGACCCTGAAGTTGGGCTGAGCAGGTCTCCATAATTTTTCCCAGACCTGTACCCTGGACAATTGTTCAATTTCACTCCAGTTTTGCTGCAGAGAGTGTGCACAGCACAGGGGACAGCCTTATCACCAAATTGAGCACCTCACCTTAAAATTACCTTATGAGTCAGAAGATGCTACGATGAGAAATTACAAGTTGGAGTGGGACGGAAATTACCTTTTATGCTTGTGATGAATTTTTAAAATCCTGTTAAATTATTCTTAATTTTCCTCGTTGAATTTCCTTTGTCACATGAAATAAACTGTGAATTAAATATCTGAAATTTATGTTGTGATATAGTTGTGAAATGGGTGAAGCTTTAAGTTGTTAGATTGATACATATTGTTTGGTTGTTTTCACGAGTCTGTAGTTCTGACAAAGCTTGTGAAGTGGTTTATGCAATGCTTGTCTCTGCAATGATTCTCAAAGCATGAAAATAATTATTAAGGTGTAATATTAGTTCAGTCGCTGTTTCCATATTTGCCCTTGAAATATATTAATTCTGTAAAATTGAACTTACAGAAAAGTGATGAAACCAATGTTGCAGTAGATAAACTTCAACGTAAGGTTAAAATGATGGAAATACAACTCTCACAACTGGAGGATATACGTGATCAAGTGAGTACAAGAAGAAAAGGGCAGCTGTATGTTGTGCATCTGTAGGGACCAATATTGCGTGATAGAAAGTACTCATTCCCCTGTAATAATTGAATAAGGATTAGGTGAACATTTAATACTTTTTAACATTTTTCTAATGATTTTTCAGCAGTAAAGAGTCACAACTGTCTACATTAACAAACAGTGTACTGGCTAATCATCAATGTTTCTTTAACTTAAACTGGGATTTTAACTAAGGCTGGGATTTTATGGTCTCACTGTTTTACAGCATCTTTTATATCCTTTTTTAAGGACTGCATCTTTAATGTTATATTAAAAGGGTTCCATTGACCTATTAAAATTACTTTTAACATAAAATATTGAATTAAATGTCCCACTTGTTGTCTCGAAGTCTACTTTAAGTTTCCTTATCTCTCTGTTTCCCATTGCCAGATCCTCAGTCTCCATGCCTCATTACAAAAGGGCCCTTGCTCATAGCTGCCATTATCAGAGTTTATACTGCTAATCAGACTATTGAAACATGAGCATTTTACTGCAGCCTCAGAATTGGCTGAGATCAGACAGGATTATTGGCTAGACTTCTTTTAATTGCTGAAAAAAAACGATTCTGCAAAGACATAGTGCCACACATAATGCTGCCGCTGGTGTGGATAGACTCTGCTGAAACCTTGTTTGCAGGACTGATGTCTTCTTTGGAACTTCAGAAACCACACTGCAGTGGCGAATTCCTACCCACAGCTAGTGTCATCATTTGTCACTAACTTAAGTTTCCTACATGTAGTGTTGAATTTGAGGATAGCAAATGGCTCACTGGTTAGCACTACAGCCTTACAGTGCTAGGGACCCAGGTTTGATTCTAGCCTTGGATGACTATCTATGTAGAGTTTACACATCAGAGAACTCCTTTAGTGAGGCAATATGGATAGAACACAGGAATAGGAAAGGTGAAATGATAATGCTGAGGGTATACTACAGGCCTCCTGACATCCAGTGGGAGAAAAAGGAGAGAATATGTAGATATCTTTTGGAAAGATATTAAAACAGCAGGGTTGTTGTGGTGGATGATTTTAACTTCCCCTATATTGACTGGGACTCACTTCGTGCTAGGGGCTTGGATGAGGCAGAATTTGTCAGGACCATTCAGGAGGGTTTCTTGACACAGTATGTAAACAGTCCTACCAGGGAAGGGGTTATACTGGACTTGGTTTTGAGAAATAAGCCCGGCCAGGTGAGTGAGGTCGCAGCGGGGGAGCATTTCAGAAATAGTGACCATACTACCGTGAGATTTGAGATACTCATAGATAGGGATAACAGCAGTCCTCAGGTGAAGATGTTAAATTGGAGGATAACAAACTATAACAGTATTCGGCAGGAATTGGAGAATGTTGATTGGAGCTGGCTGTTTGAGGGTAAATCCAGATCAGATATGTGGGAGCATTTCAAATGCAGCTGATAAGAGTTCAGGAGTGGCACATTCCTGTAAGAATGAAGGATAGGTATGGCAAGTTACATGAGCCTTGGATGACCAGGGATGCTATGACCTTGGTCAAAAAGAAAAAGGAAGCCTTCGTAAGGTCTAGGAGGATGGGAACTGACAAAGCCCTTGAAGTATATAAGGAAAGTAGGAAAGAATTTAAACAAAGAATTAGAAGGGCGAAAAGGGGTCACGAACTTAGGACATCGAACAGTACAGCACAGGAACAGGCCCTTCGGCCCATGATGTTATGCCGTACTTGATGCCAAATGAAACTAATCCCTTCTACCTGTCCTTGGTCCATAGTCCTCTATTCTTTGCTTATTCATATGCTTATCTAAAAGTTCCTTAAATGCCCTTATTGTATCTGCCTCAACCACACCCCTGGCAGTGCATTCAGACTCCTACCATTCCCTGTGTAAAAAGACTTCTCATGTCTCCTTTGAACTTCCCCTGTCTCACCTTAGATGCATGCCTCCTGGTTTTAGACATTTCAACTCTGGGAAAAAGATTCTGACTGTCAATCCTATATATGCATTTCATAGTTGTATAGACTTCTATCAAGTCTCCCCTCAGCCTCCACCGCTCCAGAGAAAACAGCCTGAGTTTGTAGAATAGGATATAGAATAGAATATCCTTTGGTGTCACTTGTACTCTGGTACAGAAGTACAGGAGTACAGTGAAAAGTTTTTGCATGCCTTTTAGGGCACCATCATAGGTACAAGTACCTAGGTAAAAGTTTAAAAAAAAGTGTTGTTATACAAATGAGGATTAAAAGGAAAGTACAAGCATCACTTACAGTGTCTAATAATGAGTTAGAAATGAGGTAGTTATAACTTTGTGAAAAGGATTTAAATCACAGTCCAGTAAAGAGTTCCAAACAGCAACAGCTCGACTCATGGTGTCAGGCAAAAGTCCAGCAACTGTCCCACTTTACTCCAGCCTCCAGACCTCTCCTCACCGGCACTTTGCAGCAACAAGTTAAGTCACGCTGTTCCGAAATTCGCTTCACCTCCTGCCACTCTGGAACTCGGATTCCCCATGTGCCGCTCCAGGACTCAGGATTCCCCACGTGCCGCTCCAGGAATCAGGATTCCCCACATGCTGATCTGGGACCCAGGGTTCCCCTGCTGCCACCGCTCTGGGACTCGGCCCCTCCATCGCTCTGGGACTTGGTCTGGCCCACGCTTGTTCTGCTGCTGTTGCTCTGGGAATTTGGTCTGCGACTCGGCCCGTGCTCACTCTGCTGCCACTGCAGAACACAGCCTGCGCACTCAGCTCTCACTCAGTCTCTGGTTGTGACGCATCTCCCTTGACTCCTTTCTCCAGGCAGGGGTAGTTAACCCACCCATCTACATTTTCAACTAAGTCATTTATATATATCACAAACAGCTGAGGTCCCAGTACAGATCCCTGCGGAACACCACTAGTCACGGACCTCTAGCTTGAAAACACCCTTCGACCACTACTCTCTGTCTTGTATTTCTTTGTTTTCTAGCCTGTCCTTTTAGTTCATATGCTCTAATCCAGGCAGCATCCTGCTAAACCTGTTCAGTACCCTCTTCCCCTCTTCAAAGCCTCCACATCATTCCTGTAACATGGAGACCAGAATTGACCGCAGCACTCTAAGTGTAGCCTAACCAAAGTCTTATAAAGCTGCAACATGACATGCTGACTTTTATACTCAATTCCCCGACCAATAACGGCAATCATGCCATTCGCCTTCTTTACCACCCTATCTACTTGCAAGACCACTTTCATGGAGCTATGGACTTGAACCCCAAGATCCGTTTGTACATCAATGCTGTTCAGGGTCCTGCCATTAATTGTATACTTTCCCTTAACATTTGACCTCCCAAAGTGCAACACTCACTCTTAGCAGATTAAATTCCATCTGCCATTTCTCCACCCATATCTGCAACTGATCTGTATTCCTCTGTATCCTTTGACAACTTTCTACACTACCCACAACTCCACCGATCTTTGTATCATTTGCAAACTTACTAGCCCACCCATCTACTTTTTCATCTAAGTCGTTTATATATGTCACAAACAGCAGAGGTCCTAGTACAGATCCCTGCGGAACACCACTAGTCACAGACCTCCAGGCTGAAAAGCACTCTTCCACCCACTACCCTCTGTCTTCTCCAAGCAAGCCAATTCTGAAGCCACATGGCAATGTCACCGTGGATCCCATGCGTCTTAATCTTCTGGATGGGTCTACCTTGAGGGACTTTGTCAAAAGCCTTTCTAAAATCTAGGTAAACAGCAACCACTGCTCTACCCTCATCGATCACTTTTGTCACCTCATCGAAAAGTTCAATCAAGTTCGTAAGACATGACCTGCTCTGCGCAAAGCCATGCTGACTGTCCCTAATTAGGCCATGCTTTTCCCAATTGCTTTAGCAGATTAACATGCTCCACACAAATCTCCCTATCCTCGATATCCTTCTCCTGGGTAAATACTGATGTAAAAGTACTCATTTACTTGGAGAGACAATGGCCTAGTGGTATTATCGTTGGACTGTTAATCCAGAGACCCAGATAACGTTCTAGGGACCTGGGTTTGAATTCCAGCACGGCAGATGGTGGATTTAGAATTCAACAAATATCTGGAATTAAGAGTTTAATGATGACTGTGAATCCATTGTCGATTGCTGGAAAAACCCATCCGGTTCACTAATGTCCTTTAGGGAAGGAAACTGCCATCCTTACCTGGTCTGGCCTACATGTGACTCCAGACCCACAGCAATGTGGTTGACTCATAACTGCCCTCTGGGCAATTAGGGATGGGCAATAAATGCTGGCCTAGCTAGCGCACCATCATCCCATGAATGAATAAAAAATTAGGAATCCTGGGGTATGTGGGTTCAAACATCACCACATCCCCAGTGAAATTTTAATTCACTTCATTAAAAATCTGGAGCTGGAAGTTAGTCTGAGTGATTATGACCGTCAAGCTTTCATTGATTGTTGTAATAATCTGTCTGGTTCACTTTAGGCTTGTCTGCCTACACATGACTCCAGACCCACAGCAATGTGGTTGACTCTGAGCAATTAGGGATGGGCAATAAATGCTGCCTTGTCAGCAATGCTTTTATCCCGTGAATGAATATAAAATAAATTTAGGATCTCAGCCATATCCTTGCCTCCAGGCACAAGTTCCCTCCTTAATCCTTGTGGTGGTTCTACCTTCTCCCTAGTTATCCACTTGTTTTTAATGTATCTATGGAATGCCTTGGGATTCTCTTTAACTGTACTTGCCAAGGTCATTTCATGGTCCCTTCTTGCTCTTCTAATTCCCTGCTTGAGTACTTTTCTGCTTTCCTTATATTCCTCACAGGCCTTGTCCGATTTTAGCTTCCTAAACTTTACATATGCTTTTTTTTCCTTTTGACTAAATTAACAACCTCCCTCATTATACAGGGTCCCTTTATCTTGCCATCCTTGTCCTTCCTCGTCCTTCCTCCTTACTGGAACATGGGTCATGAAAAGTCATTAGCAAACAGGATTACGGAGAATCCCA